ACATGCTTACATTTTATTTGACTTAAATCTCCAATAAAGGCGCAGCTCTGCTGAAAATGCTCAAAAGGGGAGCAGTCGTTCAAGCTGCCCAGGGGTCGTCTATAAACGACGTCACACTCGTAGGGTGGAGTGGGGGGGGGGTCCGTAATTTTGTGACGGTGTGTGATGAGGGGTACAGATGGTGTGACGTTTTTGCATTATAAAAAAGTTAATGTTAGAAAACGAGTTTTAGACTTTTTTTCGCGTTTTAGAAAACGGTTTCAAAAAATTGTAATAGGAATTGATCAAAATACTCTATGTTGACAGAGTTCTGTCAAGATTTTAGAAAACATATCGATGTTTTAAGAAAAAAGTTAACAGCAATTTTGTGTGTGTGTGTGTGGGGGGGGGGGGGGTTGTAGGCTGAGGTGGGACGTCATTTTATGGGGGAGCGTTTGGCTTTTTGTGACGACGTGTGAACTTTTAAACACAACACCTCAATGGGTAATAAGTATCCCCATTGAGTGAGTGTTATATTTGGGCTGACCCTGAGATAAAGCACATAATGAAATGACGCTGGTGTTGTCAAGTACTGGCTTTATTGACATTAACATTAAGCCATAAATGGCAATGTAGGACAGTAGAGAACAGTAGAACACATAAAAACAATGTAGAACATAGCGAAAACAGAACCCTTAAATGTAAACAATAGGTTACATCACTGGAAATACCACTTGTACGCTACACAGTAACACGGGTGTAATAAAATATGTTACGGCCAGTACACAGTACAGCCAACAAGTACCAATAAGTAGTACAATACTAAATACTTAAATACTCAACCTAACTAGTGTGCAACATGCAACACTAGCAGGAATACACAAATAAGTATTCTAATAATAAACATAATTTATATTACCACATTACCTTCATTAGGTCTACATTGTCATGATCTACCTATAGGCAACGTCACCCTCCGTGTCCACAGCAGCCTTGGGTCTGACTGACACGGCTACAGGTACGAACTACACATAATCCCATGTCACATGACATGAAACACAGGTAAAAATCGCTCACCGAAGAGCATGCAACATTTTTTTTTCATAAAAAACGTTTTAATAAAAATCTTTTATGTATAAATGCACTAAAAAAGTAGAAATTAAATTATACATTACTATTTAAATTAATATAAAGAAAAGCGTGGGCCACTTTATTATCTATGGGATACCTTTACTAATATTTAGGAAGAGACCCACGCTTTTATTTATAGTAATGTAAATAGAAGGTGTATAATTTATTTTCTACTTTTTAGTGCATTATAACATAAACGCTTGTTATTAAAACGTTTTTTATGAATTTTTTTAGTACTTTACATGTTTTTATTTACAATAGAGTTAGATGACTAATAAAAGCTTGTTAATGAAACATTTTTTATGAATTTGTTTTAGTAATTTTCATGTTTTTATTTACAATAAAGCTGAATGACTAAATCCATTGCGCAGCTATTGAACGCGATGATGCGCTTTTGCCGTGAGGACGCGTGTGGATAGAACTGCCTACTAATTTAGTCTAACTTTTAATTAATTGATAAAAAATTAATCAGGCGACCAATAACGTCAAATTTAATGTCACGATACACTGTCTTCAAGTCTTGACCCAAGAACCAATTACAAACCGTATATGTCAGTTAGAAGTGCCTGCAATTTCGCTCCGGCGTTTCGATCTAGACGGACAACAGACAGAGGAAGTGAGTTAAATAAAAGCTTGTAATAGAGTCCTTTCATATGACGTCACGTCCGTTTGTGAATGTAAACATCCGCCATCTCGGTGTACAGACCTACATTCAAAATGGTGATCTGTGCGGTGAAAGGTTGTGATACTCGAAGTGGCAGATCTAAAGGGATTCCTTTATTTCGATTGCCAAGGGTTATATTAAACCAAGATGATAGAGATTGACAGTTAACAGAACGTAGACGCCGTCAATTTTTAGCTAATATTTATCGCAGCGGTGTGAGTGAAGCAGCGGAAATAATATGCGAATCTGTTCTCAACACTTTGTTTCAGGTAAGGACAGTAGAATAATAAACTTTATTTTAATTATAAAAGATAACTATTAATAAAACAAATATGCTCGACCTTTACAAATACTAATAGTAAAAAACAAAGTCAAAAGTAATAATAAGAATAATAAGATTTAATAGTAGGCCTAATGATTGTGTTTTAACGTCTCGATCTAGAATTTAGCTCCAAACATAGCGTAAACAAAATTCGGACCACAGATCTAGATTCTGGATTTAGGGTGACTGGCTCCGCTGGGTAGACATAGAATCTACTTGTTTACTTAAATTTGATTACAAAATTTAGATCTACATTCGATTTAAAATACAGCCATAATAAATCAAAAGTAGTCATAATAGGCCTATTAAAGCAATTAATTGTCTCTAAGATCTAAAATCTCGCTCTATAATCTAATCATTTTTTTAGCAAACGAAATTTTCTGAAATTGAAATAGATTATATGACTAGATTTAGATCTACAATCTGCTACTTAAATTAAATTTTAAAAAGTTTATACAAGCATGTAGTTGAGATTATTGTAGTAGAAGGCTTTAATAAATTACTAAGGCCTACCTACTTTGTGTCTTTTTACAGCAATATGTATCTGATACTAGACTGAGTTTAATTAAATTCAAATGGATATCTAGTAATTAGTCTACTAAGTTTATGTAGCCTAGTAGTAGAATCTAGATCATACAAACCAACAATAAATAACCACATTAATATTAGGTTAATGAATGGGCTAATTTTTATAAAAAAAAATCCACTGTTTATAAAAGAAACAAACCAAGAAAGAAACATTATAAGTGAGATGGTTTAGAATAATAACAATGGACCCAGTCTACAATTGATACAATTGCAGGTCTACATAGGGCCTACAGTCTAGTAGTTTACAGTAGGCATCTAGTGTGTAGCTGTCCAGAGTTAACATTCTTGGATGTAAAAAGGGATGGTACTAACTAATCTGCTTTAATGCTTTCCCCTGATAAGCCATGTGTGCTATAAATGACATAACATGACATCGAAGTGAGAAATGTTGAGGGGAGAGCAGTGGGACTTTCCCCTTTCTTCTCCCTGCTGGGCCCCGAGGGTCAAAATTATATAAGAGATACTATTTCTGTGGGGCTGGGTATCACGGAGGTGAAAAATTTTCAGGGGAGGGCAGTGGTGCTGACTCCTCTTTGGTTTTATTGTAGGCTAGAAAAAGGTGGAGCTGGTCATCATGAGGTTTGAACACCAGTATTAATGTGTCTGATCACTTTCCTGCTGGATTATAAGGGTCTTAAATTTTATAACATGTTACCCAGATTGGCTGAGATCTAAGAACAGCAGTGGTTATTACCCATGAATTATATTAGCCGTTGTAGTGTGGGTTTTGTAGGAGTTAAGTGCAGTGTTTCTTCCAGACTTTTTTCTCGGGGGGGGGGGGGGGGGGCACTTGAAATTTTCGGGGGGGGGGGGGGTGGACACTGTTAAAAGTATATATTTTCTATATAAATTATATACATTTCATTTCGTTCGGGGGGGGGGGGGGCGGTAAAAAAAATTCGGGGGGGGGGGGGGGGGGGTTTGGTCCCCCCCCCCGAAGAGATGCCTGAAAGAAACTCTGGTTAAGTGGTCTCACGTTTGCTTCAGTAGTGTGGTTTTACTAGATCTATTGCTACTAAATCTTGTACTTAACAGAGAATCGAGAATCTACATTAACCAGATCTAGATAACCTATAATATATTACTGCATTTGATAAGATTCGTCTACTTAAACTCTAAACGCAAACAGTATTACTAACAATAACAGTATTTTTATTTAGAAATTTCGGCCACATATTTATATTATCCACTAAACTGTCAATAACAGTATAAGGATCTTCAATTCCTAAGAGTTCAAGTTTTTTAACGTATTTTTCCTTTTCCGCGGGTGCGGTTCTTTACATACAGTGAACGCCTCCAGCGCTGGTGAACAGCTGATTGTGTTTACGTCCGGCGTACACCACCGTGGCGGCGGACGTAGGTATCACGTGATTTAGGTCACATATTTGCAAGGACTCTATAACAACATCAACAGTAGCGGTCCCATAGGGGCCGCAACCCAATAAACCCAATAAATTATAACTTATTAATTATCCCCCCCCCCCTGGCTGGTAACAATGATATGTGTTACATTAATATTAATGAAGTCACATTTATGATTGAGGATTAGAGTTTTTCAGGCATCTCTTCGAGTGACACCTCCACTTCACATCCTCCCCAAAGCAAGTCAAACGCCCAAGAACGAAATTGAAAATATATTTTATATAGAAAATATATATACTTAAACCAGCTTACTGTGTCTTTATCATAGGTTTAGTCAAATAAAGCGCTTAGTGCATTAAAGAAATAACTCGTTCTCGGCCTATTTTGTAACAAAGGCGCTTTATATAGTTTTACTTCCCTTGGCATTAAGACGACCTAAAATAAGTCGTGGCTTAAACGATTCTCATGCTATCAAGTTATTTATCACATTCTGAGAAACCACAAGGGCTAAAACTAAAATGTGTTTGTAGACTAGAACATTATGACCTGATATATTGTATGTTATCAATTCATGTGATACATGTGCGGAGGGTGAGGCATTCACTAATAAGCGTCGTATTCTCTGATGATACTTCATCGACCAATTGACGTTGGGTTGATGTGTTTGAAGTTTAAAAGGTTAGGGTTCTTTTACGATCTGGGGTTGCTAGACCCATAATTAACATATCTCTTTTTCAAATTAGTATTCGAAAAAAAAAATATCACATCATAGAATCTATTTGAATGACGAAACGTTTTAACAAGCCTAAAAAATATTTCGATTTAAAAAACAAAACAAACTAAAATAAAATAACATTTTTTATTTAGCAGAAATTAAAATATAATTTTAAAGACGTTAGTATCAGAGCAGTTATGTATAAATAAAGAGCCGTCTTTAAAGTATGTTTAAGGTTACTAATCGAATGCATACCAGCGCACTTGGGCACTGTAGATCAATGAATCTGCCCATGTCTCCAAAATGATTTGAGCACTTGTTGTTGTGATCACTCCCATGTGAAGAAAATACCTCATGTTTACGTCTTTATTTGTATCTATAGCTTCCAATGATAACACTACAGTCGGTGGCGTCCCGTAAGGCTTGGCGAACTTGATAGCTTGAACACTTTGCTTATGATCATTGCCAATCACCTGATAGGTATTGGAGTTTCCGAAGGAGACAAAACCTTGTTCTTTGTGTTCGGTCAATTCTTCAGCCAGCTCTTGTAAACATACTGATACTGAAAAAGTAATTTCGTTGCTTTTAAGTCGAGGTTAATAAAGTGTTTATGTCTTCTTTATTTTGTTCTTTTACAAAATTATTATAGCGTATCAATAAAATGTGATCTAGATAACATGAACTATTTAAGGTGAAACAAATAAATGTTCTTTTACACATAATATAATTAGTTCGTCTTTAAACTATCTCAATAATTTTGATTGCAGACTACGTTTACTTTGCAGAAAAATATTGAACCGCATTAGCAAAAATGCTTTTAAACAAAATAAAGGATTTGAAAGGATACATGATATCTGTGCAAAGTAACAACTAAATACTTACAGTCAGTTGATGAAACTACTGAAATTAAACCCAGCACAACAAGGAGTTTTCCGTACATTTTTATTACTGAAGAGACATTTAGATATGAAGTATATCAAATGGGCTGTTATGTTCTTATCTCAGTAATTATTATAAAATACCATTAATAAATATATACAGTAAAGATTTGGCAGCATATATTTTGCATTGTGAAGAAGAAATTTTTTAAGGAAGTTTTAAACCTACTGCTTTATCTTATTTTCATCATACATAATATACACATGCTTGCGATGAAAAATAATTTTATCGAAAGATCCAACTGAAGTGACTTATTAATAACATATTTACTATTTTTTCTTCTTTATAATTTTTTTCACTTGAAAGAGATTCATTTCAATAGAATTAAGTAGGCCTATTACGTGTAAAGTTTTTATGATCCGTATATGCCGTTGACCTCGATTATTTTCTTTTAGCATTTGTTTTTATATTCTCTGTCTAACTAACAACAAACAGCAAGGCAGCAGTTGTTTGATTTTTAAATTGTTTCTCTTAGATGAGTGGTTGTCCACAAGTTGAGCCTCATCTGCAACCATCAGTTTAACCGACTCGACCATGTCGATAATACGCATTATAAAATAATGATGTTTCGAAAAACATGTTTGTACTTAATATATTTTCTCCACAGAGTTTAATTCAAATTATAATACGAGTCTAATGGGAATGGGTTGGTTGGATGGTAGAGCATACGACTTTTACATCGAAAGTCTCGAGTTTTATTCCCTGTTAATTGAACATCGATAAGTTAAATAAAACGTTAATAACAACTTTGAAGCAACAAGCAAGTTTGCCAAAACTCAACAGATTCTGCTCACAAGTTGCTGATAAAGCCTTTTGACTTTTTAAAAAACAAATACATATAAAGTGATAGATAACATGATATCAACTCGGTCACTACAACACATGAATGTATCAAATTTTAGTAATTTATCGCAAGGTTTCTTTAAATGTCGACAGAAGCGGGCTCCTGTGAAGAACTGATTTCTCTTATTTGTTTTCAATCTAAAGTTTAGGACGCTAGTATGACACAAAATGCATTTACATACTACCGTTGTTGATTGTGACTGCGCAACCAAGGATTTAAGAAGATTAAGTTAAAGTATAGTCAAATAAAAGAAAAAACACCCAGAGTCCCACCTGTTCACTTTGTGCAAGCCAATGATAACAACACAAACTGTTATGCATTAAAAGTTTCAAAATTATAAAACTACTTACATGGAAAAATCGTAGTTTTCGCTAGCAAAATTGTAGATGTCTGGTTGTACAGAAACCTTACCAAAAATAACTACATTTTATATACAACTTTTCATGAATTTTTTAAAGTTAATCTGAGAATAATTTGTTAGATATTATAGAAAATGACAGTTTAATTTTTGAAATGTCTTTGTAGTTGTTTGATCAAAGCTAATTATGCTTGAGCCGAACCAAATTGCCTTTGATATTTAGCTTGTAACGACGTGTGACAATAACCACGGAGTACCTAACAGCAACATTGTATTTAATTTTAATACCCGCATGATTTAAATATTTTAGACACCCACGTGTCGAAGATAACTGTGTTCATCCAAGATGAATTTTTTTTAAAAATATGAGTGGGCGTATGTGTTTAACAGCCTACATTGTCCATTTGCTTTGGAGCCGAACGGTATCTCATCACATCTGAAGCACAATGACGTCTGACATAAACTTCTAAACAGAAAATAATTCCGTGTTTTCAAATTTTTACTACGCTTTGTAAAAAACAACTAGTCAACTTTTTTTTTCACATACAGTAAATTCTTTTTACTAAGCAAATTTTAAAAAAAAGAATTCATGAAATGGATGTTTTCTAGAAAAGAACACATTAAAGTAAAAAAAAAATATATTGAATGCGAAAAAAATTTGAAATTTAATTTTTTATTTTACTACTTTGTGATTTTCAATGTCTATTCTATAGTATCGGCAATAATGTTTATAACTTTACGGTAAATAAAAGTTACATCTGTAATAACACTGCGAATTAATATTGTTTAAATTTTTTCATGGGGCGTTGGTAAAACAATAGTAACCGCTGTTTATATTTATATTTTTAACGTGTTTCTAAACCTACAATGGGTGATGTTTTTTTTTATCTTGTATATTTTACGTACAATCATATTAACAATGATGTTTTAACTTTACATTTTTAAAACATCCCAAAGGGGGGGGGGGGGGCTGGTGAGAGGTCGATGGAGCAGGAATAAATTTGACCAGTAACTATGAAGATTAATACGTAGCTTTCGCGAAATACATTCAAAAAATGTCCTTTTGTTAAATTGTCTGGGTTAAACACGCATTGGTAGTGGATTCAAAGAATTCAGTAACCTGAGATGTTTACTTTAATATAGTAGGTTATAATTCAAATGCTTCCTCCTTCAAAGGCTACACTACTGTACAAAAGCTGAAGCATTATAAAAACTCTTGTTTTCAAGCTTTTCTTTAAATAATTAACTTGCGATTTTTTTCAACTTGGCTTGTGGGTCAAGGATCGATGACAATGAAATCTCAAATCAAATTTGAGTTAATTGGATGACTACCTAATTTTCTAATAAATTAGTTAATATTTTCAGTAATTATTAGGGTGACTTACTACTATTCCGCACAATAATACACGTAATTTCATGTTCATTCGGTGCAATTTTTTTTTTACTCAAGCAACTCTACTTAATAAAAAAAATTCATAAAAAACGTTTTAATAACAAGCTTTTACTTTTATGTAATGATGCACTAAAAAGTAGAAAATAAATTATAGACTACTATTTAAATAACTATAAAGAAAAGCGTGGGTAACTTTAGTATCTATTGGATACCTTTACTAATGTTAAGGAAGACACCCACGCTTTTCTTTATAGTTATTTAAATAGTAGTCTATAATTTATTTTCTACTTTTTAGTGCATCATTACATAAAAGTAAAAGCTTGTTATTAAAACGTTTTTTATGAATTTTCTTTTCAGTACTTTACATGTTTTATTTACAATAGAGTTACATGACTAAAAACCATTGCGCGCCTACTGAACATCACGTTCAGTAGGCGCGCAATGGTTTTTGAACGCAGCCATTACGTGATGGCGCAGCTATTGAAGGTGATGACGCGTGTGGTGTGGTTGGCTAGACATGCCTACTAATTCGGTCCAAATTTTTATTAATTCATAAAAAATTAATTAGGCATCCAATTAAGTCAAATTTAGTTTCAGATTGCATTGTCTTCATGTCTTGACCCACGTGCCAACTGTGAATCGTATCGGTCAAGTAGAACTGTCCGAATTTTCACTCCTGCGTTTCCGTCTAGACAGACAGACAGACTGTCGAGGAAGTGAGTTAAATAAAAGCTTGTAAAAAAATTAAGTACTGAAAAAAAAACATGTACAATAATGAAGAAAAAATTAGAAAATAAATTATTTTCTTTTAAAATATAAAAATTATTATTTAAATAACTTTAAAGAAAAGCGTGGGACTCCTCATAATTATTAGAAAAGGGATCCACTACATAGTATTTAAAATAGTAGTGTATTATTATATTACAATGTTGCAGTCTACATTTAGAGTGATGCCTCATCGGAAGAAAACATAAAATAACAATTCATTATCTGCAGTATAGATACTTTTAAAAAAATACTTTAAAAAATACAATTAAAGCATTTTAGTTAAAGGGCACTTTTTATAACAGATTTTGAATCGCTGCAATTTTAATTTTACAGAATGTATGTTGAAGCTGGGGCCTATATTGATCTGGTGAGTTAAACAGACGTAGCTTATTAAATATAAATATTAAAGTTTAAAAAAATATAATCTATGTTCGTTAGTATCTACGTAGTTATAATAAAATAAAATGGTTAATTCAACAAACATGGGCGCCTGAAATATTTGGAATGCGGGGTGTTTAAAAAATGCGATGTTATCGTTCTATATTATAATCTTACTCGTATTTCATACGCCTACTCAAACAAATAAAGGACACCTGTTGGTTCAGCTAAGCTGGTGCATAATTAGCTTGAATCCAACAACTACAAAATGAAAAACATTTTTCTCCAATATCTAGCCACTTATTCTCAGATTTGTTTCAAAATGTTTTGTTAAAACGTTTTGAAACTAATCTGAGAATAAGTGGTTAGATATTGTTAAAACGTGTATATAAAATGTAGTCATTTTCACTGTGGTTTTCAAATCAACAGCATACCTCAATTTTGCCTTTGAAGGGAAAGAATTCTTCGCTGTAAGGTTTTTTTCAAATATTTTTCTATATGGCTTCTTTTTAGTGTGTACGGTTTTATATTTGTGTCGTAATTGAATAGACAATATTTGATTTGTAACATTTTAATTTTGTTTATAAAAAAGGATATGCGCAATAATTAAAATATACACATTTGTAGACTCATATTATTCTACGACCTATATTGTTCAAGGTATAAAACTTTTACCTTATAAACATAATAGAAGCAGCATTACCGATTATTTTATACCTTCTATTTTAGTAAATACTATATAAATAAGTAACTTCTATTCGATGTCAGCTTAAATTATATTTATAGCAAAACCAAAACCAATATTTGTTTTTACCGATAATTAATACAGACAATCCAAATATACTCTTGATTTAAAAATTCACGAATAATTAACGTATGTCAATTTTTGCCAACTTTGAAATCCACCATATCTTTCAGCAATTTAATTGCATCATAGTTTTCCAAGCAAATTATGTGCTGTCAATATAATTGAAAAAACAATACATGATTTGCATACTTGTTAAATGTACTGCCCTTACATTTAATTCTTCAAAATGAAAGTATTACCGCAATAAAATATAACAATTTAGATATTTCATTTTATTTTATTACTTTTTTTTGAAAGTACAGTATACTAATTACATATTTATATAAACAAACTGACATGTTTTATTTTAAAATGTCTGTTTCAGTGAAAAGTAAGATGTACCGAACTCTCCTTGTTGTCTTGGGTTTAATCTCAGTAACTTCCTCCGTTGACCGTAAGTGTCAAGTTTTACTGTAAAAAATGCACCATCTAAGTTATTAGGTATATAATTGACGTTAAAAACCATTAGGTATCTATTTCGAAGATTTATTTTTTAAAATGACATTCTGAAAATGTAAATTTAGTCTACACATATATTATTTTTAAACCATTATATAAAGAATTATGTAACACGCGTAATGATTTTGTTTTAATATAAATGGTACATCTTATGTAAGTCCGTTTTACTGACACCCCATTGAACACTGAAAAAAATAATTATACGACAACATCATCAACAATAATAATTGAAAATTGTAATCAAACAGATTACTTTTTCAGTATCAGTATGTTTACAAGAGCTGGCTGAAGAAGTGGCCGGTCACAAAGAACAAGGTTTTGTCTCCTTCGGAAACTCCAACACCTATCAGGCGACTGGCAATGATCATAAGCAAAGTGTTCAAACTATCAAGTTCGCCAAGCCTTACGGGACGCCACCGACTGTAGTGTTATCATTGGAAGCTATAGATACAAATAAAGACGTAAACATGAGGTATTTTCTTCACATGGGAGTGATCACAACAACAAGTGCTCAAATCATTTTGGAGACATGGGCAGATTCATTGATCTACAGTGCCCAAGTGCGCTGGTATGCATTCGATTAGTAACCTTAAACATACTTTAAAGACGGCTCTTTATTTTTACATAACTGCTCCGATACTAACGTCTTTAAAATTATATTTTAATTTCTGCTTCATAAAAAATAATTGTGGCAAAAGTATTTGGTGTTATTTTATTTTAGTTTTTGTTTTTTAAATCGAAATATTTTTTAGGCTTGTTAAAACATTTCATCATTCAAATACATTCTATGATGTGATATTCTTTTTTTTTCGAATACTAATTTGAAAAAGAGATATGTTAATTATGGGTCTAGCAACCCCAGATCGTAAAAGAACACTAACCTTTTAAACTTCAAACACATCAACCCAACGTCAATTGGTCGATGAAGTATCATCAGAGAATACGACGCTTATTAGTGAATGCCTCACCCTCCGCACATGTATCACAGGAATTGATAACATCTAATATATCAGGTCATAATGTTCTAGTTTTAGCCCTTGTTGTTCCTCAGAATGTGATAAATAACTTGATAGAATGAGAATCGTTTAAGCCACGACTTATTTTAGGTCGTCTTAATGCCAAGGGAAGTAAAACTATATAAAGCGCCTTCGCTACAAAATAGGCCGAGAACGAGTTATTTCTTTAATGCACTAAGCGCTTCATTTGACTAAACCTATGATAAAGACATAGTAAGCTGGTTTAAGTATATATATTTTCTATATAAAATATATTTTCAATTTCGTTCTTGGGCGTTTGACTTGCTTTGGGGAGGGTGTGAAGTGGAGGTGTCACTCGAAGAGATGCCTGAAAAACTCTAATCCTCAGTCATAAATGTGACTTCATTAATATTAATGTAACACATATTATTGTTACCAGCCAGGGGGGATAAATAATAAGTTATAATTTATTGGGTTTATTGGGTTGCGGCCCCTATGGGACCGCTACTGTTGATGTTGTCATAGAGTCCTTGCAAACACGTGACCTAAATCATGTGATACCTACGTCCGCCGCCACGGTGGTGTACACCAGACGAAAACACAATCAGCTGTTCACCAGTGCTGGACGCGTTCACTTTATGTAAAGAACCACACCCGCGGAAAACGAAAAATACGTTAAAAAACTTGAACTCTTAGGAATTGAAGATCCTTATACTGTTATTGACAGTTTCTTGGATAATATAAATATGTGGCCGAAATTTCTAAATAAAAATACTGTTAGTGTTAGTAATACTGTTTGCGTTTAGAGTTTAAGTAGACGAATCTGATCAAATGCAGTAATATATTATAGATTATCTAGATCTGCCAAAGCCCCCCCCCCCCCCGAAATTTTTTTACCCCCCCCCCCCCCGAACGAAATGAAATGTGTATAATTTATATAGAAAATATATACTTTTAACAGTGTCCGCCCCCCCCCCCCCCCCGAAAATTTCAAGTGCCCCCCCCCCCCCCCGAGTAAAAAGTCTGGAAGAAACACTGCAATTGACTCCTACAAAACCCACACTACAACGGCTAATATAATTCATGGGTAATAACTACTGCTGTTCTTAGATCTCAGCCAATCTGGGTAACATGTTATAAAATTTAAGACCCTTATAATCCAGCAGGGAAGTGATCAGACACATTAATACTGATGTTCAACCCTCATGATGGCCAGCTCCACCATTTTCTAGCCCACAATAAAACCAAAGAGGAGTCAGTACCACTGCCCTCCCCTGAAAATTTCTCACCTCCGTGATACCCAGGCCCACAGAGATAGTATCTCTTATATAATTTTGACCCTCAGGGCCCAGCAGGGAGAACAAAGGGGAAAGTCCCACTGCTCTCCCCTCAATATTTCTCACTTCGATGTCATGTTATGTCATTTATAGCACACATGGCTTATCAGGGGAAAGCATTAAGGCAGATTAGTTAGTACCATCCCTTTTTACATCCAAGAATGTTAACTCTGGACAGCTACACACTAGGTGCCTACTGTAAACTACTAGACTGTAGGCCCTATGTAGACCTGCAATTGTATCAATTATAGACTGGGTCCATTGTTATTATTCTAAACCATCTCACTTATAATGTTTCTATCTTGGTTTGTTTCTTTTATAAACAGTGAATTTTAAAAAAAAAAATTAGCCCATTCATTAACCTAATATTAATGTGGTTATTTCTTGTTGGTTGGTATGATCTAGATTCTACTACTAGGCTACATAAACTAGATACCCATTTGAATTTAATTAAACTCAGTCCAGTATCAGATACATATTGCTGTAAAAAGACACAAAGTAGGTAGGCCTTAGTAATTTATTAAAGCCTTCTACTACAATAATATCAACTACATGCTTGTATAAACTTTTAAAAATTTAATTTAAGTAGCAGATTCTAGATCTAAGTCTAGTCATATAATCTATTTCAATTTCAGAAAATTTCGTTTGCTAAAAAATGATTAGATTATAGAGCGAGATTTTAGATCTTAGAGACAATTAATTGCTTTATTAGGCCTATTATGACTACTTTTGATTTATTATGGCTGTATTTTAAATCGAATGTAGATCTAAATTTTGTAATTAAATTTAAGTAAATAAGTAGATTCTACCCAGCGGAGCCAGTCACCCTAAATCCAGAATCTAGATCTGTGGTCCGATTTTTTTTTACGCTATGTTTAGAGCTAGATTCTAGATCTAGACGTTAAAACACTATTATTAGGCCTACTTTTAAATCTTATTATTCTTATTGTTACTTTTGACTTTGTCTTTTACTACACAAAGTGTCGAGAACAGATTCGCATATTATTTTCCGCTGCTTCACTCACACCGCTGCGCTAAATATTGGCTAAAAATTGACGGCGTCTACGTTCTGTTAACTGTCAATCTCTATCATCTTGGTTTAATATAACCCTTGGCAGTCGAAATAAAGGAATCCCTTTAGATCTGCCACTTCGAGTATCACGACCTTTCACAGCACAGATCACCATTTTGAATGAAGATTTGTACACCGCGATGGCGGATGTTTACATTCAAGAACGGATGTGACGTCATATGAAAGGACTCTATTACAAGCTTTTATTTAACTCACTTCCTCTGTCTGTTGTCCGTCTAGATCGAAACGCCGGAGCGAAATTGCGGGTACTTCTAACTGACAGATACGGTTCGTAATTGGTTCTTGGGTCAAGACATGAAGACAATGCATCGTGACATTAAATTTGACTTAATTGGTCGCCTGATTATTTTTTTTATCAATTAATTAAAATTTAGACCAAATTAGTAGGCAGTTCTATCCACACGCGTCCTCACGGCAAAAGCGCGTCATCGCGTTCGATAGCTGCGTAATGGATTTAGTCATTCAGCTCTATTGTAAATAAAAACATGTAAAGTACTGAAAAAATTCATAAAAAATGTTGTAATAACAAGCTTTTATTAGTCATGTAACTCTATTGTAAATAGAAACATGTAAAGTACTAAAAAAAATTCATAAAAACGTTTTAATAACAAGCTTTTATGTTATAATGCACTAAAAAGTAGAACATAAATTATACACAACTATTTAAATTACTATAAATAAAAGCGTGGGTCTCTTCTTAAATATTAGCAAAGGTATCCCATAGATACTAAAGTAGCCCACGCTTTTCTTTATAGTAATTTAAATAGTAGTGTATAATTTAATTTCTACTTTTTTAGTGCATTATTACATAAAAGATTATTATTAAAACGTTTTTTATGAAAAAAAAAATTGCATGATCTTTGGTGAGCGATTTTTACCTGTGTTTCATGTCATGTGACATGGGATTATGTGTAGTTCGTACCTGTAGCCGTGTCAGTCAGACCCAAGGCTGCTGTGGACACGGAGGGTGACGTTGCCTATAGGTAGATCATAACAATGTAGACCTAATGAAGGTAATGTGGTAATATAAATTATGTTTATTATTAGAATACTTATTTGTGTATTCCTGCTAGTGTTGCATGTTGCACACTAGTTAGGTTGAGTATTTATTTAAGCATTTAGCATTGTACTGCTTATTGGTACTTGTTGGCAGTACTGTGTACTGGCCGTAACATATTTAATTACACGTGGTATTTCCAGTGATGTAACCTATTGTTTACATTTAAGGGTTCTGTTTTCGCTGTGTTCTACATTGTTTTTATGTGTTCTACTGTTCTCTACTGTTCTACATCGCCGTTTATGGTTTGATGTTAATGTCAATAAAGCCAGTAGTTGACAACACCAGCGTCGTTTCATTGTGTGCTTTATCTCAGGGTCAGCCCAAATGTAACACTCACTTAATGGGGATGCTTATTACACATTGAGGTGTTGTGTTTAAAAGGTCACACGTCGTCACAAAAAGCTAGACCCTCCCTCATAAAATGATGTCACACCTAAGCCTACCGCCCCCACCCCCCTCAAAATTGCTGTCGAATTGTTTTTAAAACATCGATATTTTTCCAAAATCTTGTCAGAACTCTGTCAACATAGAGTATTTTGATCAAATCCTATTACAATTTTTAAAACTGTTTTCTTAAACGCGAAATAACAGCTAAAACTTGTTTTCTAACATTGCTTTTTTTAATAATGCAAAAACGTCACACCATCTGAACCCCTCATAACACACCGTCACAAAATTACGGACCCCCCCCCCCCCCCACTTATCTCTACGAGTTTGACGTCATTTATGGACGAACCCTAGGCAGCGTGACCGACTGCTCCCCTTTTGATTATTTTCAGCAGAGCAGCGCCTTTATCGGAGATTTAAGTCAAATAAAATGTAAGCAAGTTAGGACTGCTGCAAAGACAACATATATAATCACCTTTCAGAAACTACGAATTGAAGCTGTCACTAAAGCTAATTTTATGTGTTGTAAATGGGCCAACCTAATTTTTATAACTCACTTCATGCTTACTTTTTCGCCTTCTCGGTGCCTGATTGAATAATATGCAAAACAAAAAATGGCTCACATTGTCTGTCAGTATCTTTACATAATATGTTCTTTATGTCATACATATAGCTTATGTATATACGCAGAGTTTCTTCAATGTATCTCTTGAGGGGGATGGGTTGGAAA